ACTTATCTACTGCTGCCAACTTGTTCACTCACATGCATGACCCAATCGCCCCAAATGTGAGCCTGCTCACAGACCATAACAAAACTTACAGCCATATGGCAGGATGATGTCCCACAAATAACAGCTAAGCGTGAAGTTAAGGGTTTGTTTTCATTGAGAACCAAACTCAGATCTGCTCCAATTACACCTGTGTGACGACAAAAGCACAGACAACTGTTAACAAGACTAATTATTAGTTAATAAGGAGAGTTTCTTTACTTATTAATAACCTGCCAGCAGTACTTAACAGCTCAGTCTCCACCGATGGTGGAAGAATTAACTAAAGATATATAATGAATAAAAAACTGCACTGGAAAGAAAATGGGTGTTGTGTTACCCCCTACCTCCCCATAATGGCCACCTCTCTACAACAGCCACTTTCCTCTGTCCCCAAGGTGGCTGTTGGGGAGAGTTATGTCTCTAAGGGTATTCCTATGGTCATGGAATACTACGGGTCAATATTACCTAGGAAATGCAGCCACAATGCACAGCAAAGTTAAAAACCCTCTCATCCAATGAAGGTCACTTTAGTTGTCAATGAGTTACTTATTCAGTCAATGATAAGCAATCTTACCCAGTCCCCCAGCATGTGCATCAATGAGTGCAGTGCCAACTGGCATCCCTTCCCATAATCCTAAGTCAGCAGCAGCTGTTTTGGTCAATCCGTTGCTGATTGACTCTCCAGGACTGGCCACTTTTGTACCTGACAAAGCATGGAAACAATAAATCAATTCCACCATGAACATTCTTTAATATGTCCCAAGTTCACAACCTGCCTAATGTATATACATAAATTAAAACAATCCAGTCTTACCCATCTTGGAATAGTTGGTATTTATAAGATCGTCAAGGCCAATGGCTTCTAAGAAAGAGTCCACCCAACCATTCCTAGAACCTGATGAGCACATATGTACAGAATGTAAACTAGAGAATTTATTTTCAATTCAGTGACTAAAAACCAAAACCAAAGTAATCACTCTCAGGCCTTTGGAACCACAAATAACGCAGACAATACAGTGAGCCAATCAAAACTCGAAGTGATTTTGTGTAGCTGACGCAACATGCAGGAAAACAAGTCCAGGTGAGATGCGTGTTTTGGTTTTACTTCTTATTGGATGAAAAAGTGGCATGTGTTATTTAAGCCAATCGTGTAGCAATACTTGATGCAAAACCAATATTACTTTTTGGCACTCAAATGAAAACCGCTCTATCAGGAGAAATTCACCAAATAATAGAGATGACAACTAAGGTGGCTTACCTTCTGGAATTTGAGACTCATGACCCATATAATTGAATTTGCAAACAAGAGAGCACATAGACCTTAGAGAAATGAAACAAGGCACTTAGAGTCACACAGGGCATCTCTCCAACCAGCAGTATAAGAGCTAAGATTGTTTATTACTAAATAAGCAAAATTGTTGTCAAGACAAGACAAAAATGCCATTAGAAGCACTAAAGATGCAGTGGATTAACATCTATCAAACCAGGAATTAGGAATTGTCCTAGTTGTTTGAGACTTGTTTAATACTGAACCAGATCAAGTTACAAAAACTTATTGTGTTGTAAGCCAAAAATCTTGTATAATAGAAGAGCACTCAGACAAGTAATTTAGACAGTTCCATCCAAAACATGTTAAAATAGGTGATATGACTACTGATATGCCCCAATCCAAGTTGGAAATAATTAAATTCCAAAAATTCCTATGCCTGCCAAATTGGACTTGGCCTGTGGCCTCCACCAATTTTAACAGTTGGAACAGAAATTTTCAGCCAATTATCTCCAAACTGGAAGCATGCACAAATATAAGAGCCTACTAATCTCCGCCATTTGAATCACGTGTACTAAAGGCATCCATAGCCACAAGTTGATTGATACTCTCAAACAACCCTTGATCAATACTTGAACGACACCTCAATAATATTGACACTCAATCGACACTCGATCAACATCTCAGTTGACACTAGGTCAAGAGTTGTCTAATTTTCGCAGACACACCATCGAGCATTGATCGATACACATGGGTTGGTCAACACTTGGCGGACTAATGACCAACTGTCAATCAAGTGTTGATCAAGTGTTGATTGAGGTGTTAATCGAGGGTCCAACGAGTATTGATCAATTGAGATGTCCATTGAGTGTTGATTGAGGTTTTGATCGAGTGTTGATTGAGGGTCAATAGAGGGTATCAATTGACACTTGGTCGCGGATAACTTAAGTACATGTGTTCCTGCCATTCTTTTAAACTTCTGCTCCTCCAGCTCTCACCTTGTTTGGTCACCTGTTGCTTTATAAGTAAGAAACTCGGGCAACTCCAGAAAAAGAGCACATTTTTCCCAGCAGTCACCAGGCAACTTCTCCTTCAACCAAAGTATCTTTGGAATCTCCATTTCTGGCGAGACCCCTCCACCAACATAAGACAACACCTTATGCTTTGTGTTATTAATTCTTTGGGCCTGGTCCAAAGCGCGATGGTCCAGCCACATGATAATGTTTCTATGGGCTTCTCTGGAGGGACTAACAGTGACAGCATGTCCTGTAGAGTCTAGAGCTACCAGGGAACAGGTCGCATCAAAACCAATACCCCTTATCTTATGGAGGGAGTCCTTGTGAGTGAGAACTTCAGAAACTTCCTGGAAATTTGTTGACATGTGAACAAATAATCTGTTAAAAAGAGTCTCTGCTCTTTACCCCAGATCTTGTGCCTGAACAGTAAATGATTTAAAATTTTTCATCACAAATTAGCAGGAAACCATAGGGTAGCTGTGAGGGTTTCTTTATTCGTTGAACATCCCCACTCTCCCCACCCCCTCCCTTCTACCCCTCCCCTACCAATGAAGGATCGCATAATTGATGTTTGAGAACGTACTTCTACATTATTTCCACAATCTAATTTCTTATTGCAATCATCCACAAATCGTTTGATACCTTGACAACTAAGCAGACATTACGCCACACATCTTCTGACGACTGTTCATAATAGTCCGGTAACTGTTGCCATATTTGTAATGGTCGAGTCGCGCACGACACGATTTTCCCATCACTAGCCACTAGAGCAGCGCGGACGCTCGCTGTTCCGACATCAACACCAATATAATAACATCCTGCCATTCTTGATGCGTATAGAGCTAAGAATTTGTAGCCGAGGGAACGCTTCCGTTCAAACTAATTCGACGAGCCTCGCGGGCCGCCATATTGGCCGAAAGGAAGTAAGGGTCTGGTGCAGAGGTTTGACGGTGGGGGCCTTAGCACAAGGAAATCACTTTCTTGTCAACATTTCATGGAAGTCATCTCTTGTGGGGTAACGGGGACCAAAATACCACTGGTTATATTGAACTATATTGAACACTAGCACTACTTCATAATTATAATTCTTATGTTAAAGATAGCGTGATAACTGTATATAGTTTCTGCTGACTCAATATGTAGAACTAAACCCATTTGATCACAGCACCTAAAGACCTTTTTTCTTCAAAACTGGCTTACGGGGGAGAATATTCATGCAGCGGAATCCTCCATAACGGAACATGTATGCCACTTCCGGTCAGATTAGCCCGCAAGCAGGCTCACGTTAGAACACAAGCGCGCGCGGCCTAGCTGAGAGCGCGAGATCGAGCGGAGGAGTCGCGAGGCGAGATTTCTTGGCGCCTCTTCACCAGACTCCTCCCTGACGGATCGCTTCGCTCTGCGCCGATCGCGCGTGTGACTCAAAGGTTGAGATCAGATGTTCATTTCTGTTTTAAATAAGTCTGAGGGCACCGTTATCGAGCAGTTTTAGTAAAAACATCAATCAGAAGATATCTTCAGGAACGAAACGAGCTTTGAATTCTTAAAAAGATATCTTAGTTCTAAAAACTAGTCAGTCATGTCACAAGAACAATCATTTTCTCGTACTAAGGCCCTGCCGGCCAAGTAACTCTGGAGACAAGAGTGCTGTGATCTTAGCTGGATGACACTCGGAAATGTACAGAAAAGGAAGCTAGCGTTATATTGTAGCCAGGTTTGTGTTACGATTTTTTTTTTTTCAATGTCGTTCGAAAAAGCCCGTAAAACACAAATTAAACCCGAGCAATTAACACAATTTGAGCCCATATTGCATAAAAGACACAAATACAACCCTACATTAAGGCATTCAATAGCTTTATTAGCGACTGAAGTGAATTTACCATGCAAAGTCTATAAACCGGGTCATGAAGAGCTCCATACGTAACGTCCAGCATTAAGTCCGCCGGTACTCATTTATACACTGGGTGGAGAGAGGCACTGTACATGTGAGCGTAGGTGACCTAAAGTGTCTTGCCCAGGAACACAACACAATGTCCCCGGCCAGGACTCGAACCCGGACCGCTCAATCTGGAGAAGAGCGCACTAACCATGAGGCCACCGCGCCTCCACCTTCTTGTCTGGCCCCATTGTGAAAACCTGTTCAGTTCTTTGTTGTAATCAGACGTTTTTCGTTAGAGATCAGCCAATGAATGCTTTTCGGAAGGAAATTATCGTGTAGTTATTGAGAATCAAAGTCCAAGAATCGCTGGCCAATCATGTGCGAGTTCCTGTGCCGTCTTTTCCTTGTACCAAGGCCCCTCCGTTACGAGTATACTTAGCCTGCGTAACAGGCGTTGGGAGGATGGGCTTGCAACGCATCTGAAACGCATCCGCATCTGTAACGCAGGCTAGCGAATACTAAAAGCTATTCAAAGTGATCAACTCCCGACAGACGTACCCTATTTTCAAACTGGGGCTAACATGGCACAAGCCTTCTAGATGTGAAACAGCATCATTAGCTAAATTAACCACTTCGAGTTTCAGGCCACCCTCAATTAAGTATTGTTGTATAAAACAGGTTTCTGACGTAACTCCTCTTTTCATAATTTAATACTGAGTATCGCACTTGCTAACAAAAATATCCAATATTATACAATACATATAGGTCTTGAAGCGCCAGAACTAATATATGATGATATGAGTTCAGTTTGAAACTGAAATATGAATGTAGATTAAAAATAGTCTCGGCTTTGATCCCGCGCGGTTTCACGCTTTCATAACCGCGACAATAGAGTGAAGTAAAAATACTCTCGTTACCTTTTAGCTTGATATTTTTTCTGTAGTGACAAGAAATGATCTTTATCGACCTCTCTTTGTATGGTGATCATGAGTTGAGAGTTTCACCAGTGTCACATGCAGTGTTAACAGCTTGTTCATGTCTCAGATTCCATTCATTGATTTAATAACGGTGTCCTGCCTGTCTTTGTCTTATAAGGACAAAGTTTTCATCAAGAATTCATCCTCCCCTTTTCTTAATGTTTTCTCATTCTGTTGAGAGTACTGGGAAAGAAAGTACGATAGGGAAAATGGGGATTTGGTAGCTTTACTTTATCCTCGCCCAGATAGAAAAAGAGGGGTTAGCCCGGTAACTGATCTGGCTCAGTTACCAGGACGAATTTTGTCGTCTGTTCATATGGGAAAGTTTATCCCGGTCGACCGGGATGAAATTCCAGAACCAAAACCAAAATGCATCAGTGGTGCCAGGTAAATCACATGATTATTCTGACTTCATCGTTTTCCGTCCACACGAAAACGCAAGGCCGGCGTTTTCAAATTCCTCCGGTTTGAAGAGC